TTCTTGAGTGAATAAGTTTGAAGTCTTCCCTTTTTTCACAAAAAAATCAAATCTTTGATTGCTGCAAATATTGTTGGGGTAATGTCTTGCACATCTTTTGGGCCCATTACCGAGGCGTGACGATCCTTACAAAATCGACGCCGCCTGAAAACAGGTATGGTCCAAGACAAGTTTGAGAGCTTGTAATCTTTGTGCGCGAATTGTAAAATCCGAGCACAGCCGCGGTTTCAAAGTAGACAGCCTCCTTATTCAGAGTGACCAACCTTTGAATGGTTTCCTTTGTTCACTTCTAGAAAATGGAGCAAAAAGAAGAAATATTGAATTTTCACCGGCACATACTTCCTTTTTTGGTGTGTAAGTCAAAGACGGCTTGACATCGATGTAAACTGAATGCGAGTCTAGAAAGCTTGGGCTTTTTCCTAAAGACCCATATAGGGTATTCGTTGTTATAAATCAATGAGTGCCAAAAAAATGAGTCTGAAAATGGAATTTCCAAAACTGCCCGGGAACTTTCTTTACAACCTAGTATTTTGGACGTAGAAAACAAAAAAGAATTGGCAAAAATTTGTTGCCAGCGCATTAACTGCTTCGTGCGATTTCTGTTCTTGTTACATAATTTATTGCATCTGTAGAATCAGCCATTGCCTTAGATGTAACGACTCAGTGGGATTGCTTTTGGCTAAGAAACTGGTCTCATACGCAGTACCCCAAAAGTATGTAACATTTGAATCCACTGGCTTGACCGCTGGAAGGAGGGGCTTTGTGACCTAATTAAGGCCGCCCGCGCCCGCGACGAACCTGCGTCTCTCTCAGGCGAGTCTCTCTGATCATTACCTAGCCTTAATTAGGTCACGAAGCCCCGCCTTTGCCGATGCCAAGCCAATTGAATCAAATGGTATACATTGTTTGAACATCAATATCACTCTTCCCTAGAAGTCTTTTGTCTGCATTTAGGTACCGTTTTGTAGAGCAGGCTTCAACTTAGATTTGCAGTATGGAGCGAGCCAATTAGTTTCTTCGCTACTGTAGGATTACGGTAGGAACTTCAGGAGGGGTTCTGAGTGTTTTGAACCTTATTCGTGGTCCAAATCGTGTGGAGGAACAAATGAGAGGACACATCTTTACGATAGCAATGAGAATTCTACCACTACTAAACCTACGTCCCTTTCGTCCTCGATGGTTTGACTAAATCACTATTTCCAAGTCTTAACTCATCTGATACAATACCAAACCTTACTTACCTACATTTCATCTCCATACCTTTCCTGCGGGCTTTTCTATTTCCTCTGTCTTACTTCATTTCAATGGGAGAAGCTCTAGTTATACAGACTTAATAAGGGGGAAGCATAGAGTACCGACCCGGATAGCAATGATGCGAGGGAGAGTGGACAAGCAAGCGATCCCTCGCCTACTTTCAGGCGATTTATATACGCGTGATGGCGCACCGCGTGCTTCTCACGGTATGATGCTGTTCATCATGAACAAGAGTTCATGACACTCCCAATTTCGCGTTTGTTTCCACGGCATAGCTAACACAGCTTGCGCCCGCTTTTTTCCGCTTATCTTTACTACAATCTCAAACTGCCGAGTGACAAAAATAATCAAGTAAATATTACCTAGGAATTAGTAAAGTTCTATTTACAAAGCTGTACAACTCTAGAGTTAAATCAGTCATGAGATGAAGATGTGTCCACGTGTCTGAGAAGAAGGCGATATCCTGACGTGTCCGAGAAAGTAGACGAAACAGTGTAGATTGCGCGCCGGAGACGTCCTCCTTCTAGTTTGGCATAGAAACTTTCATTCCATTACCCTTTTTCCCAATGTTACTATCTCTTTTTTTCTTTTTCAAATTAACTTGTTTATTTTTATTTTTATTTCTATTCAATTTTTTTAGATTTACAATGAATGACTAATTACTCTTATTACAGTGCTTTCGCATTGCACATTTCAAACTGATTACCGAAATTGCAATTACAAAATTTCGAGCTAATGAAACAGCAGTTATAATGTTACATTTACACTTTAGGGTACTAAATGTTACAATTACCAATTTAAGAGTCAAGTTACTGGTACTGTTACACGTGATTTCAAAAGATTTTCAATTGAGTTACAACCTGAATTTTACATAGTTCCGTTACCGCAATTACAGTTACGACAATTACAAAGATTACAATTTTACTTCAAACTCAGTCTCTCGTCATATCGAACTCGTAAGGCAAAAAGCGGAATGGTGCTTGTCTGCCTCCTTGTACCTTCCCGCTCTTTGGCAGTAGTAGCAAAGCGAATTAGAAGCGCAGGAAGTTACAAGATGGTTACAGTCGGTTTCATCCCGGATTAGGCGAGACATTCTACGTGGGGCAGCGCATCCGCATCGCTGGAGGCTTTGCGAGCGCATAGCGCTGGCATTTTGCCAAGCAAAGACTAAGGAGATTGAAGAGACGCAGGAATGGGTTCTCAGCACGATAGGATATACTGTAGCTGCGAAACGGCGCGAGCTGTTGCGAGGCGGACTCCCGCCAATCCAATTTCCGCCTAAAGCGGGACGAAACTTACTGTACCCTTTTTAAGCAGCGTTCGTACTTTTTCAATTCCCTTGCTCGATAATACCTTTCTTCAAATGTATCGTATTGTCTGCACTGGGTCGCAAAATGGTCCCCAGCGCAGAAAATACAGATAGGCTGGCGGCAGTGGCGTACCCAGGATTTCGGCTCGGGGGGGGGGGCGCGACAAAAAATTTTGTCTAAAGAAGGTGCGTGGCGTTAGCCACGCACTCCGAAAAATTTTTGGGGGTGCTTCCCAAAGTTTTTTCGGGTCCCCGACCCCTAAAATCTGGAAAAAGGGGGCGTGGCGTCAGCCACGCCTCCGAAAAAAATTTTTTTACAAGGCTAATTTGAATTTTAAAAATTATTTTAATTATTTACAAAAATAAACAAGTCACTTACACATTTTTATAACCCATACAAGTAACTTTCAAAAATTTCGCGACCCATTCTCGGGAGGGGGGGGCGCGCGCCCCCCCCCCCGCCCCCCCCCTCCCCTCGGTACGCCACTGGCTGGCGGACATTGCTCGGTCCTAGAGAGGGTGATTTCTTCCTTTTCTTCTTTTCCTTTTCCATTTCTTCGCGTTTTCGGTATTCCTCCATCTTTTCCATTCCTTCCCCAAACTGCTTTCCTTGTAATTTTTCTTCCCATATCTGTTTTCCATACGCTGCATGCGCCGTGTGGTACTGCGAGGCCTGCTAAATGACAGTTCAATATTGGAATTGGAAAAACCATCGATTTTTGAGATTTTACTGGCTTATTTAGGGTAGAGGACTATATGTCGCCCAAAAAAGGTGGTCCCCCCGGTCATTTGCGACAAATATGCACCCTTATATATGCGCGGACATGCGTTACTGCAGGAAATCCGCGCGGGACTCTTCCACATTCAGCGACATATAGTCCTCCACCCTATTATTACCCTTCTGAATATTGTAATTTTCTTTATAGGTGTTGCTGAAGAGGGTCTCTTCCAATTCTCAAAACTTTTCGATAGAGAAGGAATATGGACCCCTCTTCGTCAACATTTCAGTGGCTAAAATCTCACCGCGATGGCTTGAGCTTCCCTTCCATGTCTTTTAGTCTTGCATTTATTCTGATCAGTTCTGCGAAAATTCCTGTTGTTGGCTGGATGTCAGGTAGTTCCACTGGACGTCCGAAGTTCACGACTACCCTTTCGTTTCCAATTATTTCCATCTAATCTTGCATTTCCTCATCTCTGTCCGGTGGTGGATGGACCGGTTCCGGCTCCTCTGGCCGTTACATTTGTTTTGCTCGTCTTGCTCGTTCATGTGTAAATAGAATCTCAGTAAAATTGTAATTTCCTTACTATAAGTAATAATACGAAGTAATTCAAAGGAATTGCTCGAATGGTAACAAATTTTACTACATGCAAACAAAAGAAAAGCGTAGCAGCCGTCGTAGTATAAGGAGGCAAGAGTAAATGATTCGAAGGGGAAGGAACATCGGCATTACCATCAGCAAGTGCAAACTGCTGCGCTTTTCGTGGGAATTCAGACATCCAGCAAGATTTGCTGCGGTGATAAGCGTTACAAGCGCAATGATGGCAATTACGCTTACTGTATTGATGAAGCATTTTCTATAGATATCGAAGAAATGCATTACGTCGGGCAAGAGAATTGTGAATTCCTCTGATGGATTTACAGTCTTATTCCCTATTTGAAAGTATTTCAGGACTGGCTTCATTCCATTTATGTAATTTAGTGTTCCTTCCAATTTGAAATGCGTTGGATGCTTTCGCATTCTGCTTTGCATTGCTCCTTCACAGTTTGGAAAGAATCGCACTCTGTTCTTGATTCCTTCTGAGGCACATGAAAGAACTCTTGATTCGAACAGACTTGTGCCGTTGCTCAGACAATCGCTGGGGGCAGGCGGGCACCGGAAAAATAGATTGCTGATTTCTCGCACCCCGCTCGCGGATTTTTTGCAAAGCAATCAGGTTTTTTCGGAAGACCGCTTGCTGAGTCAGCGGATTTTTGAGAGACCGCCTGTTGAATTTTTTTTTCGCTCTTATCTTTTGCAGATATATTGCTGAATCTCTGAAGAATCGAGAACTCAGCAAGCGGTCTTCCGAAAAGTCCTGATTGCTTTCCAAAAAATCCGCGAGCGGGGTGCGAGAGATCAGCAATCTATTTTTCTGGTGCCCGCCTGCCCCGGCGATTGTCTGAGTGTGTGCGGAACGTCTAAGTAGCAAGTTATCTCGGCGACGGCACCTTTCATGCAACTATAGCACCCTCTTACTGAAATGGGGACGATATTACAAGTGAAATCGGTATATTGTAAATTTACTCCGTTACTGTACCAATGTTACTGCCAACTCCACGGTGGTCATTTCTGTGTATATCATAAGCTTCCCATTTTTCTCTGATGTTACGATGTCACTAGGCAGTGCTATAGGCATAGAGTGTGATAAATTCAAAATGGTGCTCAAGTTATTATGCTTATGGTAACAACGTCTTCAGCCGGGTTGCAGTTGCATGTGTTTCTCTATCATGCATGTAAAGTTCCCTTTTGATGGGTTTCCCTCGCACTGTATTTTTTCCATTACTTACAAAGCGTTTAGACATTATCGTGATTGGTGAAGTCGTTACTGAAGTGATTTCCACTCGTATGCCTCCCAGTTATTTCGATGTATGCAGTTTTATGGCTACATTGTTGAGGCTAATCACCTTTCGAGTTCTGTGCGATTGATATTTAGCCTTACTAATTCCGACCACGTCGGGCACTGGAAAATTTCAAAAATTTCATCATCCTTGGGAGCATGATATATGCGGTAAAATAAGCTTCCTGATGATGGGAAATCGCAGGAGCAACCGATACCTCCACATGATTCCGTGCAGAAAGTTATTCCTGTAAGTTGTTTGCGATATTCAGTTCCTCGACTTTGCTCTCGGGAGTAATAAATGCGCATTAACTCAGACAATCTCCGGGCAGGTGGCCATGCGAATTTTGAGCAAGCGGGCACCGGAAAAATAGCTCGCTGATTTTTTGCGGTCCTTTGCAGAAATTTGGAATAATTTTGGCCAATTTTTAGACGAACGCTCGGAGAACTATCACGATCTTTCGATGGATAAGTTGCGGCCCAGTGGCCGCATTCTCGCGTACTTTCCGCGAGAATATGCGAAATTGTTGTGGGTCGTAGGTCCTTTGTGGAGTACCGCACTGCCCAGGGTACCTTCCGCTGAAAGAAGGTACCCCAAACTTGGTTAATAAAACCATCGATGGCACCTCTGCCACATAGAGTCTCACGTTTTCTCGGCGTACACCCGAAACTGCGTAAAAAGATCTGAGCGCTTAAAGTTTGGCCAGCGCTCGCTGAAAGAAATATGTCTCGAGCGCTTGCAAAAAATGCTGTGTTGCTGCCCGCTGGCAGAATATACGACCGTAAAGGAAGTGCCGCCCGCTGAAGGTTCGGCCACATAAAATTCTGCTGACAGCCTGCAGAAAAGCGCGAGTTTGCGGTCCGCCTACCCGACGATTATCTGAGTACTCCCTGTACATGAACCTACCTATATGTGGACATCTCTTGCTGTACTGCACTCTTGTTTCGGTATTTCGACCGAGGTACAGTGTTTCTTTCCTGCATTGCATAACCATTCCCGCAAATGTCAGATTAAGAGTATATTGTGTCTTATTGTCATGTTTTAGATGGAGGCAAAGTTCCGGCTGAAATGATTGAAGTTTAGCAATTATCGTTCTTCGTATTACGCAGCTACTATCTCTGGTGTTGCATAGCGATGTCATTGTCGGTATGATAGTTGTTTGCTTACATGCAGTTGTGACATGTATAGATATCGCTATGGTTAGTATTTTTACAATCGTCGACGCCGCCCATTTTTTCCTTCTTTCGTTGCCGATTTCTACTAATGAAACGTAGTCATAGTCGTCTCTCTTATTATTCCCATTCTTTCTAAAACAGACAAGAGTTGTGAAGACAGGGCATAAATTTCTTAACAGGGAACGATACTTGGTTACCCCGGCCATTCGTAATAATTTATATATCAAAAAATGCGCCTTTTGTTGCTGATTCGAATACTGTTTTCCATATCTGCGAAACGAGAACCTGGATGGAGTTATGATTTTTTCAAAAATGGATTGCACTACTGTGGAGGGTGAAAATAACTGAAAAAATTTTTTCTTTCGATATTCAAGTGCTGAATATGGTTCAGATAGTTATAAATACAACGTTACACCTTTCAAGATTCTCCTCAATAACTTCAAACAGTAAAATAGATCAAATTGGGTGATTTCAACTACCTAAAAGTACAAAATTTCTACGAAAAAAGTTCATAACTGCCTTCGAAAGACCGTTTCGCAGATTTCGAGCACAGATTTAGAATCAGCGTTGCGAGATGTACCTTATAGTATCATCGCATTCCTTCCAAATGCCTGGGGTCACCTAGTATCCTTTCCTTGTTAGTAGCATCTTTATTTTTCTTACTATACTTCTTACCAAAACAACTGTGGTATAGCTGATCACGATAAGCACATATAGAAGAATTCCCGCTTCTCCAATTGATAGTTTGGCCAGCATTCTGGGTTTGAAGCTATGACGGTGCAAAAATTGCAATCTATCAGGTTGTCCCATAACTAATGCACGTTTTTCTAACCTCTTTTTGAGAGAACTGATTTCCAAAGAAAAAACATTTTTCTTCACAACCCTTCATGATGTCGGAAAGCCCGATTCCTCTACTTTCTACTATGTGCTTTCGTTTTCGCAAATCTTTGTTGATGCCGAAGTTTCATGCCTTTAAAGACAAGTGAAAATTTGAAGTTCTTTCCCTTAACTTTCCTTGCTCTAAACCCATGAAAGGTTGATGGATTTTCTACAATAAATATGCGTAAAGATCGCGAAGCTTTGTGCTACAAAACGCTTGTCAGTTTGAGATTTTCGAAAAAATCCGAGCTGCGAAATGTTGTCTCAAACTTGGCTAGTTAGTGAGGCCCATCTAAGCTGCATAAGAATCTCAAGCAAAAAACGACTGTATGTACAAGTAGAGTAGACTTAGTACAACTAATGCCAAAAAAACGCAGCATTTCATCGTCTTTTCAAAGAGAAAAAATTCAAAAAATCCCAAAAAGGCAGTTTTTTGGATCTTCCAAAATACTGAAAAAAAATGGGTACTTCCAGTTTTTTGCAAAATCTTCTCACAGAAATATGCCGTTAAATTCAAACTTCACTCCATTGCACAACCGACCTCGGCTATTTAATGAGCAAAGTTCGCGCGATTGTAGTACATCTGAGCGAAAGTTAAGCTCTCTGAAAGTATAGATTTCTGAAAAATGTTCGGAAATTTTTTAAGCTATAAAATTTTTCTTAAAGTGCCTGCTATCCAACAAAAGCATGCGTTCTATAGTCAAAGGTTTGCCGTTTGCAGTAATTTTTATTGCGCTCAAAAAGATGGTTTGGGAAAAGAGTTATCTTGATTAGAAGTTGAAATTCACAAAACGTGTATTAATTATGAGACAACCTAATATTTGTTCACAGAATGGGCTTGGATGACAGAATCGATGAGATGATACTGTACCATTCGTTGTCATTGCTTACTGCTACATAATATGTGGCAATATTTCCGGAGAAAATTGCACTGTAATCTTAATATCAGGTTGCTTGATTTCAAAGCACTGTTCATTTCCGCAAACTTCCATTGCTTAATATTGAAGACGCGTGTCAACGTTGATTCCCCCTTTCACGCACGCTCATACGCATCGGGTCGTTCTTTGCATTCGCTTTTGCGCACAGTGATCTTATGATGGCAAGTGTCACTCCCCCTACAAAGATGATTTAATATCAGCTTTGAAGCTTTCCAGGACGGATTGCCTCAAATGCCACTTCAACTAAGCTTTCCAAGGAAATGTACTGCTTGAGCTGTTAGTGAAGAGCTCGACCGAAGCTCACAATTGGATTAGTCTGTGACAGTGTAAACAAGTTGATATGGCTTTACTCCGTCGCCAAATTTGTCCTTCGTATTTGTGTACTACACTGGACCATTTCATGTTCTCAGTACCACTACGCCCGGGTCATGTCTGCTTTCCACACATCCTTCTGATCTTCGACGGTATTATAGTGATTTACGCACAAGCGTAGAGCATGCCCCGTTGAACTGCACATACTGTTGATGTTCTACAACAATATAGAGGAGTATTTTCATTTTGACAAATTAGAGTAATAGTCAAGTTTTTAGGGCTTTCGAGGGATTTTATTCATTGCGTTCTGATGAACGAAGAAAGCGCTCGGCACCACTTTCCCGAAAAGCCTCCATTCCCCGGAAAAATTCCATTCCGGTGCTCTTCACTCCCTGGGAATGGCAGCTCTTCGGGAGCAAGGGATGGTGACGGGCGCTTTCTTCGCTCATCAGAGCGGTAATTGTTGAGACATGCTTTGCGCTATTTTCATACTTTGTATGATGTATGACATTCGAAAAATCGTGACGATGGCGCGACCGCTCGCGACACGCATGCGCTTCCAGCAGCATTTTCACTTAGTCTTTTATTGCTACTCCAATGGTTTTTCTGCTTTCATATAGTAGTATTGGACATTGGAAGTAACTGAGCTGAGAGTTGAGGTGATGTCTTTTGTATGAGTGTTTTGTGCTCCTGCGCGCGCAAAGACCGCAGTCAAATCCGTTCTTACGATTTCATAAATGACCTATAGTTCTGCTTTGAATGATATTCGTGCCCGATAAACAGTCAGAATCTTACAGTCTGTTTCATTCAACGTGCTGCGCCGTAAGATACGCGTCCGTTTCGGCAATGGCCGCTATGACTTACTATCGTAGAACGAGCATGCTCTTCTCCATCATCCATCTCTAATTGTCAAAATGGCTCCTAGGCTCGTTCAATTCAGGTGTGTGAAATAAGAGCTTCGGTTGAGGTTTCGCAAGGTAAAATGACGACTCCCCTTCCATGCTATAAGAATGCAAAGCGTACTGAAACTCGACCTGCGTCTAACTGACAAGGACGACACCTCACAACAAGTTCAAGTTCAGTTGAGAAATCAACTGACGCAAATACTGTGGTGATGATAGACTCAGATAAACTTCCCGTGAGGTTACTCCTGAGTAACTTACAACAAACGTCAGTTTGCAGCAGAACATGTTGAAGAAATACTGGGTGAGTAGTCAGTGCAGCGAGACCCTTGACAAGATCTAACAAGCGCGACCACATCTTCACCGTTAGAAAACTCATAGATGTGAATGTTTGGCGAACGCGTTTTGACTAGTATATTTGCATGAACGTGGCGTTCCCATGTTATTATCATGGATGTGTGGAATTATCAATTAGTGGCTCAACGAGGCAGAGCTGACTCGTCTAAGGCTCAGCTGAGGCTTTGATCAGTTGAGATCGACTAGGCGTCCACCCAAATTCTCCAGTTCCATGTTTTTGTCGTTCCAGGAGTTTCTGTTCCCGATTCTAAAGATGAAGTTGAGAATCCGCGAAAGTTCCCGTTCCGGAGAACCCACAGGCCGGTTCTCCGGATCGGTGATTGGATGGGCGCGCACGTAGGGGCGGTCATGGATGGAGAGGACGGTGGCGTCTGGGGGTCCTCGTGCATCTTCGTTATTCCGGAACAATTTTCTCCCTTCCGAAGCGACTTTTTGCGCCGCGTTCCTGGGCATTGGCTTGATAGGTGGCCCTTCTATCACATGCTGCCAAAAGCTCAAAACCCTCAACTTAGGGTGCACGGCCTCTAAGAGAATGTATATGTCCATATCCTGCGATTTCTAGCGAAACAGAGTAAGAACTGATTGTGAGGAATGGTCATAAGAATCAATCAGTACTTCACCTCGCAGTACATTGTATTAGTTTCACAGTGACAGGCGATTAATCGACTAATGTAAGTAGTGATAAGACCTTAGCCATCGCTACAATAGCAGCGGTAATTTGTTCTCTCCATTATCGTTCTCACAGTGCGTTACCATGGCGTAGAGGGCACATCGAGTGCGCTGCCATAAATTGTTGGGAATCGCAGTAGGCAGGAGTCGCTACCTCTCATCTCAGTCTTCTCATTCATGCAGAAGTATCCACTGCTAAGCAAACACTTTGCGACTATACATGCCATTTAACTACTATGCAGTTATCGAAGCAAGTTTTTATTCAGTAATATCACATAACAAATAAATAGGGTAGAGAAACAACAAGTTTTTTCCGGAAGAACACAAATATGCAATGAAATGTTTGGAAACACGAAAAAAGGTGATTTCTAGAGCTAAGAATCAGTTCTGTGAGAAAGACACGGTTGTAAAATCTCTATAGTGAGAACAGTGGAGGAGTGAGGTATAGATTTTGGGAGAAGCTTTTGCGCGTTTAGATTGCTTGAGGAGACGATGTTAACCCCTTTTTCAACTAAAGATGAGCCTAGGATAAACGCTCATCTGTCCTTGACTGTAGCAGATTCGAAATTACGAATCATTGTGGTCAGTTCGAGATTCGACCTAAATTGTGGCTAGTTTGCAACAAAAGGCCAGAACTCCCAGTTTTTACCCGTTAGCCAAGCTAGTTTCACTTTAGGGGGAATCAAGATTATTTATGCACTTGTCGAAAGATTGAAAAGTATTTCCAATGTTTTGGACAGTCTCCTCGCATATTTTGTATCCAGTGGTTTTCTAATTTTGAAATTTGTCCGGATGGAAACCGGGATAGGTAAACAAAGCTATGAGAAATTTTTTCGAAAAGTCAGCAGACTAAGGAAAAAACAGAGCGTTTCAAGCAAGTGCCTCTCTTCCTTCTGGATCAATAAGAATTTTCACGGCCCTATGTAGGATGCGTGAAGCCCATGAGGAACGAACGGGGTGTCTTGAACAGTGCACCATCATGAAATGCACTTAAACTGTACAACAGAGATTTTAAACAATGAATCAACAACTCAGATCGCCATGGATCCTATACGGGAAATGCTGCTGAAGTCGAAGGTGAAGCCCTCTGGGAAAGGCGGTTCGAGTTCGACGATAGCCTGAGCATTTGCAGCTGGCGGATAGCGGCAGCTGCATTGTAAGCCTAGAAACATAGCAATTTGAACCTAATGTATACCGCATCAAAGAAAAATTGATCAGCCATTTCAAAGCTTATCTCAATTTTTGTGTTTGGTCCTTTCTTCAAGGAAAAACTCGTATGAATAGAGATAGAGATAGAAGTAATAGAGTGTATAGTGTGGTACTATATAATTGATGTGTAAAATGCAAATCAATATTGAAGAATTATCTTGGCTCCGTTTCGTTCCTGCCCTTAGACGGAGTATAGGAACTCCGAGCTCCCCCGAAACTCCTCAGTAAGGAAGAAAAGCCCGTGAATTCCTCTGTTGTTGATTTTGTTTCAAAAGTTTTTGGTGATAATCGTCAAAATTGACGTAGTAGTAGATCTAATATAAGTTATGTATTGAAAATCCCTATCGTATGCTATATATGTATATATTTATGATAAATAATGGTTAATAACTAACACAAAGAGAAATTTCAGAATAAAAACATATCTCTGTTTTTTAAGTAACGTACTTGTCATGATATATAGTCATTCTGATGGAATCAGTAATCAAGTCGGTTGATTGTAGTGAATTTATTATTCGTTATGGTAATCATAACCTTTGTATATTGTGTAGAATCACAAAGTGAGATGACTTATTCATGTATTTAGATGAATATGTATTAGTACTAATTATTCAGACCTTACCTTGATTTTGGTAGTATGAATTTATTTTTTGTGTAAAAATTTGACAATTTTTGAAAAAATCACTTTTTCATCGCATACATTAGAGATAAGTATGATTCGAATTGCAAAAATTTCTCGACAATCACCAAAAAAGGTGCAAGTAGGTGCACTTCTTGAAGTGTTTCTGTGCAAACAATAGCTATTTTGATGTGGATAGAAACACCAGAAGTAATGTTTATATTTTTTTTACTTGGAAATGAAATCTGTTCTATTACACTAATTCACTTACACTAATATTCTAGTCAAGCTTACCTTCCGCCAATTTCTTCTGGCGAGGGACTTTTTGAGATGTGAAGCAACGGATCCGTGGATGTCAGTGGTGTAGGCGGTGTTTCCACTTATCCTAAAGGGATGGTATGGATTACGAGTATAAAGACCGAAATCTCTATCAGATTAGAGGGGACTGCGTTGCTATCTAATCTATCTAATAATTTGATTTGATCTAATATATAAAGAATCTTCTGATTCGAACATGGATTCTGATATAAAGAATCGTTGGCTCAATTCAAAAATCTTCCAATAGCGGGAAACCGGGAGGGTCCCGAAGCGAACACTCTTCCAAATAGCGCCTTTAGATTACCGGTCACTAGTCGGTCTTAGAGATAGCCTAGATCCTACTACTATACGCATTGCCATCATGTTGTACCCAAATTCTCAGCAAAAGTTAAATAAAGTAGTCCTTTTTTTCTTTTCTTTTTCTGCATGTTCTATCATGCTTGAAAAAATTGGTAGATTCTAGGTTTTTAGCAACTATTCAAACTTCACATTTGCTATTTTATATGTAAACGACTTGCCATGGATGCTCGAGAGCTTGCTCGCAAGTGTAACGCTGTTCCGGATCGCAGCACATCAAATGAGATATGAAGTCTTTCGCTGAAGAAGTGAAAATCGGATAAAGTCAAAAAGTTGAAGCTAAACTAACCAGAATCTGAGATTTGATCCCAGTAAGGAGCATCAAACTCGTATTCACCCTTGATGATTTGAGCAAAAAGATTCGCATCACTTTCGTCATAAAACGGAGGATACCTGAAAAAGAATAGAAGTCACTTTTTGACAGTGATATGGACAGAAGGGATAATCAAGGGTTTTTGTGAGTACGGGAGAAAATCGACTATGAGGAAGGAAGGATGCTTCTCAAATACCGCATATAAATCAAAGGGAGCAAAAAAATTCAAAAATTCTTTTTTTTGCATAGGGTTTGCAAAAACCTAAGCAATCGGGTTTGTCGTAGTTCGTACATTCATCAAAATCTTTACCTTACAAAAACAGATGTTAACTTTCCGAATACTTATAAAGATTTACTGAAAATCAAGCAGTTTAAGACATCGATAAATTTTGATTCTTTCGTAATTGCTCTCTGACATAGCTTACGTCAAACAAAACGAAATTCCCATTACTTCACCAGTTGCAATTTTTTATAAGCCCTTATATAGGATGTACCTTCTCATAAATAAAAAATAGGGCTGCACAGGCAAAATGTCAAAGCAGCTTTCATTCTCTTTACAGCAAGTTCATACGTCACCTATTTAGTGAATAATCAGCGTGTGGATGACTACCGTATTGAAGCAGTAGGCAGGAAATTTCTTTCAATTTACTTCCTTTTCACTTCTTGGAAATTGCAAAAATCAAATACACATTCAAAAGTAGTTGCCGAACACAGACTCAAATACAAAGTAATAATTTCAGATTTTTATCTTTTACTTGTTTAGATCTGCAGGTGCAAATCCTTCTTTGTTTTTGTTTTCGAGCTTATTTTTTGCAGCATGATGTGCTCGAACGTTCGTTATTGTGCATCAGAATGGAACGCTCGAGTAACCACGAGCAACGTCCTCATAAAGCCAGACGTTCATTATAGTAGCTAATTTTAGCCCGTGGTCTATTATTTGCGCTCATCTGCGCTGATGATTTTCTTGAAAGAAATGCCGAGCCATAATCATAAATAGATTCAAAACAATGTCGCTTTTGATTGACGTCTTGTCGAGGATTCTCTGTTATTTTATTATTTAGTTCATATGATTGCGCAAGAATAAATAAGGAAGTCAATAATGTGGCATATGATTATAGCCCTGGCAAAAGGCCAAGAAAATGCCCTGAACCTAATAGACCCTTTTTACGACTTTTGTGCCCTTTGTAAGTTGCCCAGAAGCCCCTGGGCTCTTGCGTCAAAGCTTCAGCTTAGTAAGTCATTAAACATTACTAAAGAACACCATACCCGCATAACAGTATGTAAGCAATGACGCCTATTGACCAAACGTCCACTGCTTTACCGTATGGCTTCTGCTGTAGGACTTCTGGTGCTACGTAACTGAAATCAACACTTTTCGTGCACTATTTACCCAGCTAACCAAAATAAGTAGACTCCTGCAAAGAAAAGATATCTTGCTAACCCTGGAGTTCCGCAAGCTGTCGCCATCACTCCAGAATCTTCTGTCTTTGACAAACCGAAATCCGAAACCATTATTTTCGAGTCCTAAACCAAATGCTGTGCTAAGCAGAGAAAATTCGAAATAAAAAGCCTAAGCACACTTACTATGAATCTTACCTCGTCCTGGTTGAAATACAAGAGGTTCTCGGGTTTCAAATCCCTGTGCACCACTCCATTTTCATGCATAAATGCGACTGCGTGCAGTACCTTAAGATTTGTAACTAAATAAAAGTCCACACTAGTATTCAGTGACCAAAATTTGTTGAAGCACCACCTACTATGACTCTGCTCGCAGTAACATATCTTAGCGTTATATCTGAGAATCCCTTGCATTGCCTTAATGAGGTATCCACTGCACGCGAGACAGAATCAAAACAATAATTACTGGTTCGAGTATGAGTAATAACAGCGTGGGGGCTCATGAAGGGGAATGGAGCGAAATATAGACACGCCATTCTTCAATCATTATTACCATGTTTCCCTGGGAGGGGAGGGGGGGGGGAATGAACACTTCAGCCTCTTCATGCATGACATCATGGCCACCGATGGATCGTAAAGATGGAAAACGAAACGAAAACGAACCTCAATCCTTCAAATTTTTAATGGCAAAATTTGAAGGATTGAGGTTCGTTAATGGGTTGAATAACACTAAATCATGCTTGTTCGACTTGTTTGAAACTCGCCCCACGGGGAAAACCTAAAACTCATTTCAAATCCCGTTTAAGGGAAGGAACGAAACGGAGTAATGATGTACGGTGTTCCAGCGAAAATATTCTGAAATATCTTTACTTGTACTTATATAACGAGCTGGCATCCCGGGTTCCACCCCGGTTTTGGAGCCAATCCATCAGACCTTTCAGGTAGCGAAATCCCTCTTTTGATTCAGACTCGTCCTGAGCTCGCTTTCTATCCACCGCTTTCCTATGACTATGGGGAATATGACGAACATACAAATTTTCTGCTTTATACATATAGATTACACTTTAGAAATCTCATTCCATTTCATTCATTACTTATTGGTGTAAAATTTTCTGAGATACCAAAATCTTAAGTTTGCAGCATTACTGAAGAATCATTCTAAACCAAAAGAGGGTGGTGGAGTGATCGCGATAATTTGGTGCACGTGCACTATGCAAAAAAAATTGCCAAAAATATTTCCTGAGTAATTTATAAATATCCATAAGCGATTTCCCTGTTACTCGAAAAAATCGATGGACTTCGTGAAAAAGTGAATTTCTTTACAAGGCAACGCAACAGACATGACTTTGAAAAACCAAAATTTTTCTTAATATTTTTTATCAAAAGTAGAAATTCTGTTCTATACTGTCCATCGATTATGTATTCAATTTTTTCCGTTATGGGATAACGTTTGTATTAGCACCTGCACCAACTAACCTGTCGAATTAGGTGGCTAGCATCTTTTTCCGTGTAGGATCCCTTGGCAACGATTCTGTCGAATAGCTCGCCTCCTGTGACGAGCTCCATGACGAGGTAGACATATTGCTTTTCTTCGTAAGTGTCGTAAAGTTGTACAATGTTGGGATGCCGCAGTCTAGATGAGAGGATATTTTAGTGGAAGCTATTCCTACGAAATTTTATGGAAGTACGAATGTGTGCAAAAATTTAAAGGCTGAAAGAGTGTCTTCTATTGAGGGTGATTCAGGATTTACAAAATCATTCTAGTTATTTTGGCGCATGTCAAATCTACCATTACTCTTTGGGGACTAGGGAAATTATATGAATATATTTATATACTCGGGACACATGACAACTTTACCATGGAGGGTAGATCGAAGAACCATTAAACATTTATGGAACTTGCAGATGGTGCTCGTCGACAAAACACATCACAACGTTCAGTCAATGTTCCACGCTTGAGCGGTCATTTTCGTTTTTCAGAAAAAATGATTCAAATGGGCCTAAATGGATGCAACAGGAAGAAGCTGGATTACGAACCGCCTACGCTTAAGAAAATCCGAGACCCAATTTTTGCTCAGACGTACTTTACAACAATCATTAATTTTGTGAATCAATAATTCCTCTTTGAAGACGGCCGTTTGGCACGACAGTATCCTAAAGCACCCCCCTGCGTGCCTACTCTCACCACACAGAGACTGCACATTTTCCTCCCCTCGTTTTGCCTGACTGTTCGCAGGCTACCGCGGTCCTGTGCGGAACGGCTTTAACAGCATTACGGTTATACGAATACGCCTATAAGGCGCTTCCACCTGAATCTCTCCAACATATCGTTTTAGGACCTTAGGTTGGTCTATAGTTTGCATTCCTTTCTCTCGTCCCGCTCCCCCCCCCCTCCCCTCCATACATTCCAAAGTCCGAGTCTACCGCCTGTTCATCATTTGAGGCCGACTCCATTAGCGACCGGATTCAATTTAGGCCCCGTAACTAACCGTTGCAATTAGAATACGATAGGATGGAATTGCTGCTGCTAAGCGCTAGTTAGCGACCAGTGATTTTTTTTGAGGAACAAGCTAAAGTGGATTTTTGCAAAATATTGAAGGAATGCTGCACATGAATGATGCGGAACGGAAACATGCGAAGAAGAAAGAAAATGCGTTAATCGTTGTTTGTGGTGTAATATGCCAGATGATTTGTTTTTTGTAAGAATGAAGAAAAGAGAATGAGATCTAAGTTCAGCCAATATGCTATGTGTTTCGACCAATGGCTGAATATGACATGAAGAAAACATATTTTGCAGCATTATTCACTTTTTTTGCGATTATGAGCAGTTTCGAGGTGATTTTGCCAGTATTGAAGTTTTCTCAGCAAAGGAATTCGCCCCTCTTCCTTCAACGAATATGTCAAGATTATACTATAGATGTCTATGGTGGCGACAAGAGAGAATAAAGCTTAAAAAGCCACTGGGTAAAATAGGTCTAGTTTTTCTTTTTATGAATAAGATTTGTAAACGAGTGATTCAGCAATTTGTTTATATGAAAGCTGCAAGCTTTACCTTTCTCACGAAAGAGGCAGAAGTTAAAAGCAACTTTATTTCATTCTATCCTGCTAATCCATTGGGATCAACTCGTAACTCACAAAATGAACTAAAACTTCATCGATTCCACAAGGGAAAATCTTCAAAACATTTGAAATGACGCCTTGAAAAATTGCATGAAGACGATCGAACGAATGCTGAATTCTATTATCCTCGCAAATTTCTCATTACCTACTGCGATAATGATAATTGCGAGAGGTTGCAAGACTACATACAATTTCATTGATTAAATTGATTTAACGCCTCGCACCATCACCTAATGGAAATATTCCGGAAATTTATGAGGTATCCTCAGTCCACTATTTCGTAAACAGAATAGAAGATAATGACTGTCATGATGTTCAGTACCTTCGCTGCTATTCAATCACTGAGCAGAACTTTGATTTCTTACAATTGACAGAACAGAGAAATCTTGAAACGCTCGCATTTATAACAATAAGCTGTGGGTCGCTAGAGAGGATAGGTCAAAACTGGAAACGAAATTGTTCTGGTATTGCGAAAAAGAAAGTGGAGAAACAATCTATAAATTGAACTATAACTCAGACAACTGACCGAGTTTCCGCAGAACGTTTGGGGAAGCTCCGACGGGTCACCTGCGCAAGTTCCCTAAAAGTTCTTCGGAAGTTCCCGTTTTCTACCAGTCTAACTTGAAAATCCTGCGGAAGTTTCCTTCAATGTTTCAAATTTCTAATAGTAAACAAAGTCCTGGGGAACCGCTGCAATTTTGGCTTGTTCTGCGGAAGTTCCGGCGAATTGTCTGAGAATCTGAATGATCTTTGTAGAAGTGCGGTTTAATAATTAATTGCAGAATTACTTTGCATTCAACAGGATGAATTTGTTATGATAGCACTCAGGCGGTGCTTGGCACGATGCCCTTTGCAAGTTTATTCTAAGACGTTCATCTTCACAGCAAGGTGAAAAAACTTTGTAAATCAAGTAGCAAATTTAAACAGTTTGATGCTATAGTTTCCTGAAATCAAAGGCTTGTATATGTAGCATCGAGTTATCCAATTTAATGAATATTTTTTACCACATAGGCACTCGTTAAAAATTGGATTTTTAAGGCTTTTAATGATAAATGGCTATGTATCGGGACTTCCTGAGAATATGGTAAACACAGAAGAGCTGTTCTCCCGGGCTCGTTGTAAAATTACCATAGAAAACATCCAAATTCCAGGCCTGTTTACCCAAACTCGCACAAGTTTTCCAGGTCATGACATTTTTTTGCGAGCCTCGACATGCTTCGCTGGGTTGGAAATGTGACTGCATGCGTAAACTCTCCGACAGTAGGTAAAAGCAATCGAGTTGTTTTCGCTTATTTGAGTGAAATCCGGTTCCCCTGGGAGAACACTGCCTTTCCAATCATTAGAGCTGGCAGACAAGCCACATGGAAATAATCATAGACTGAACAAGTCGGGGTAGGTTACGCTTGGTTACTAAACTAAGGATCACTATATGGTGAGCCCCCTCCCCTTAACTACAATAAAAGCATCATTAGGATCCATTATTGAGGTAGCTTTGCATCAAATTTTGCCCTTGATGGAGATAAAGAGGTGATGAAACGTTTTTCTGATGCTAATCAGGACAAAGAGGGTACCTATTCTGCGTTAGAAGCTTCCTTATAGATGCTTTGAGCTTATCACAACTTTGTCATCAAAATTTGCGGAAGCGATCTGATGTTTTGAATTGGTCACTAGTATGATCTCAAACAGCTAAAAGATTACGAGCTTCCTCCAAGCTTTAATATACCAGGATGTCTGGAAGTGCGGTGAGATCAAATTCGTGATGATCTTTCTCAAAAAAATACTCTGGAAAGCATTTTAAGGCGTGTGAATAGTGTTTTGTTTGCATTATTGACTGATTTCGACACCTCTCAATAAAAGGCAGCCATAACTCAAGTTAAACTCCTATTTTCTCGACTCACACGACAGCATTGACCTTTGCCAGTAATGAAAGCACATATGATTGCTTTAAGCAAGTAATTCACAAACAAATTCCAGTCAAATCAGTCCCTCTGGATTTTTGACGAAATATTTAATGTCATAATAATGGCAAACACCACTTTCGAATTGACAAAAATCTCTCAGCACCCTCGTACAATCCACAGTTCAAAGCTTCTCTACCCAAGAATTTGCTAGCGTCTGTGCACGTGATTTCGATTTTGAACATTCCAAAAACTCAAAAATTTGCAGGCATGCACGCGCTGAATTGTTCAGATTAGTCACGCGTTAATAGTAAAAACATAACAGTCTCGCATAGAATTTCTGTCTCCTATTGATGCTATAAGAACCAAATCTTTTCTCTAGTTTAGAAAAACCGCAATTGCAAACAATGAACATTAAAATACAAATTGTGGACGTAGATTTTTGCACGCAGCAGCTGCAAAAGTAAAATTCAAAGCGGTAATAATAGGTCGTTACGTAAGTTTTGTTACCCCTTCTTTGTCTTTTTCGAAAATTTAAGAAATCGAATCGGCGAAGTCTCATATTTCTTACATTAGGGGGAAGAGATCAAGGGCTATCCATTGCCATCACTTTCGCCTTCATTGACATAAGTTACAGTAAATACTAATGCAATTCTTTCACGGCCTTCAACCTTCATTTTTTCTTTATTTTCTAAAATTCTCTCATTTTTCTTTTTTTGAAAATTTTCTATGCACTTCCGGAAGCACCAGTAATAGTACGAAGGCAATTTGGAAGTTTAAGCTTTTCAACAATGCTAGTTGGAAACTTGACAAGAATAAAAAACTTCTAAAAAATTCAAAAGTTCTATACTTCGTTTGGTATGTGTACATCGAAAATTCGCAACATTCCACATATTTCGAAAATGAAAAAAAGTCATTCGAGGAGGTTATGGGGATTTTCATTAAATGCAAAATTCATGCAAAGTAATACATTACAGATGTATAAAAGAGGTGTACAAATTATTCTAAGACATTATGTTATTAATTACCTCGCAATATTTCCGCATATTTATAAAGGTCTAAGGAGATAATAACTTCCTTTTTTTCTAGGATTATCTGCTATTCTAGTTCAACTCATTGCAAACCTAATTTCTGCTTTTTCCCCTTCCAAATCTTTTCGCTCAAGAAGGTAAAGCTGAAAATGCGAGTGCAGTCGCGAGAGCCGATGATTCGGATCGCGTTGCCCATAGCATCGTATACACGATTAAGTCAAGACGCATATGAGTGCGACGATGGCAGTGAGGAGAGGAGCCGATCGAGAGCCGAAGAGCCACTCATACACATACTCTCACACTCACACAGAAGCATGACATCCAAGTGGGATCAACAAGCGCGCAGATGAGGAGGTGACGCTGGGGTGACACTGGGCTGACACCACACTGACACCGACACCGCCAGAGAACTCACTTTCGCAGCACTTTGATCTCGTTCTCCAGCGACTCTTCTTTGCCTTTCAAAGCCTTCTTGTCAATGCACTTGACAGCTACCATATGGCCGGGCTCTTGCTTGCATTCTGCCAAAAACACCTGAAAAAAACTTTTATGGGGAGGGCGAAGTATTGGAAGAGTTGGCTGTTCTGCTGGTGTAAACTTCACAACGAGGCCATAACTTGCTCGGATGCAATGACTAATAGACTTTGCGCAAGTTTCTCATCAATGATGGCTGTCAGAGATATTAAGAGAGCTATGCCTATGTGGCTGACTTGCTGGGATGAAACACTTCATCAATGGTACAAAAGAGCCGGAAAAATGTTTGAGGGGTCATCTCTTGGATCTTTCCGAGCTTAGTACTGGCGATGTCGAGAAAAGTATGGCCTGAGCTAGAGAAACAAAATGAGCGGGTAGCTCCTCACCCCGTCTAATGGTGCACGAAGCCTTTTTCTAAAAAAAATTTCAGCTTTTATTTTCTGGATTTTCCTGAGATTAGCAACCACAAGGGGGGAAAAGCTTTGGCTTGAGCTAAGGAATTATAATAGACGGATAGCTCTTCAATTTAGCTGGCAGAGATGGCCTTGAGCGTGCTCATTCTTGAACCCACAATGAATAAACTGTTTTGAAGCGCGATTTCGCGCGAATCCTAGAAGGCGGGTGTTCAAACAAAAACGATACGGTAAGAGAAACGGAAGAAGCGTACCTTAGAGAAGGCTCCGGTGCCGAGTACGTCTCTGAATTCGTAGCGCTCACGGATGGAGCAGCCTTCGCGGCGCTTGAACAACGGCATCTGAGCCCCAGACATCGATTTCCAGCATCACTGCTCTGTGCCTCCACCTCACTCGCCTCCAGCCCTGCTCACACTCCCCGCGCTCTCAGCGCTCAGCTCAGCTCACACACTCGCTTATCACATATACACCGACACGAGAGCCCCCTTCCACTCCTTATAAGGGCCCACCCTTTGCTTGTGGACGTTTTCAACCATACGGTATCATGTGGGGCCGTTTGGAACGGAGCCAGGCTTTGCAAGGCGGCCCAACCATGTCATTCACACCGGATTAGGTTACTTCTCCGCTTATATTCGACTTTTTGAATTCCTGAGGGCATGGCGCTAGTCCCGTCTTCTAGAAAATCCTGGGACGCTTTCCGAGAATTTGAGACTATTACCTCAAAATCATATCATTTCCATAAATAGTGGGTGATAGCAATCGCGCCTCCGGAAAAGTCTTCTAAGTTAAACTGAATTTTGAAAAGTTTTATTAATTTTCAAATTATATAAAAGTAGAAGACAAATCAATTGCATACTCAATTGCACAGCCCATATAGCTACTTTTAAGAAGTTCGCCGACCTACTTTCGACTTACTTAGGCATCATCGACCTTTTCCTAGAACTATAAGCCTACTACAAAGCGTTCGATGAAAAAAAGCTTCTTAAACAATTGCTCGAGAGAGCTGCAGAAGTGCATATATAGATGGGAAGAGTGACATCATTTTTCCAATAAATTCGTAATATGATAGCATTATCCAGAAAAAATGAAAATGACAAAAGTCGCGGAAGTCTCGAGCAGTCTCATTCTAACGTCATAACCTCAAAATTCATTTCACCACCCCCCCCCCCCCCTCCCTCTCGCTGTCCTTGATTATGGTATCTGAGCCTGCTGCTTTCAGTTCAAGCCAATATTTGCAAAAGCTGTGAAGTAGCTCAAACAATGACTCCAAACTCAAAAAAACTAAAGCGTTGTAAAGTAGAAAGAAAGAGTAAACTTGGTTGTGTCAACGAAGCCTACTTGCCTATAGAATTTGTCTCATAAGTAATATCTAATAGTTGCAATAAATCTGTATGTTTCCGCACTGAGTATGAGTAGCAAAGGTTCTAACAACACTGAGCAACGTAACGCGATTGGCTCAGAAATACGCATGTAGTTTGAATTTTATCGAGAATGTCCAGGATGAAGCTTATTCGAGTTTCTTCCTTAGCTATGATTATATGTGTCGCATTTATCTCAGTGGTAATCTTATAAAATTCTATAAGCTAGTAGGAAAAGCCAAAGTCGACGTTGCAAATAGTAATATCTACTAGAAATGAAGTCGCCTGATAGAAGACTGATGACAAACAGTATATCTAGGAAAACCTGCTTCTTGGGCTAGGAACGAGGTAGTGTATATTACTGTATATTTTAAAAGTGAAGCTTCTCAAGCGGAGAAGTGAGAAACACTCGCAAGTCGCGGCAAGAATTAAGGGGAAAATCTCAGCAACGCTTTAAAACTCAAAGTACTTTATTACTTATTCATCTTAGTACAAACGTCCCCTTGTGCCTATGAAAAGTTATAACGAACATAATAATCATGCGTGAATATTAGATGAAAGGTTGTAACACAATTAATGCTACATTCTACTGGAAAGTTGGTGTTTTGGGATGCAACGGAAAGGTTGTAGTGAGGAGATCTGTGCCAAGTTGGCCTTACTCATCTCCGCCAAATGTCCTGAGAGAGACATCAAAGAGATTCAAAAATCACTTTACAGTTACTTTACCTGGAAGATGTCTGAGTAGCTGAAAGCCTCTCTATCGTGTACCACAAATCGGCACTACATGAATAATTACTAACAAGGGAACGATCCCAACTTAGGGTGGCGAATTGGAATAAACCGCATATCATTAGATACGTCTTGAATGAGCTGATTCCAGATCTACCTTTCATATCTGCGATGCCGTTCTTTGCAAAAAGTTATGAGCGGTTGAAAATGTGAAGTCATTAGGGTTTCAATGCATAATGTGCTTCAAAATTCAACTTAGCGGTGTATGACTAGCATATATTGAGTGTACTGATTTCAAGGAATGCTCACATTCAAAAGAAACACCAATAAGTGTTTCTGAACAACTAAAGCAACTAAAGTTCTTTGGCAAAAACTATGAGCAATTAAAAGTTCGAATTTGGCAAATACGCAGCGCCAAACCTAGAGAATTCGTTGATTTATGATTTATTTGCCTTTCATATTTTTACAATATGCGGCACCCAAACAAACTGATCCATTCTTTTAACGTGAGTGATCTTACTCTTTGCCAATTGCAAATGCCAAGCTTCTTCTGAAACTCGTCTCTCCATCTCGTTGGGGCCAGTATATCGAATCGTTTCTCTTCAAGGCTTCTTGCAGATCATGTAGTTGGACTTCGTTTGGCAGGCGTTCACGTTGAATGTTTCGCGTATAAACAGTCGTTGTTGGGATGGAACATACTTGATCCTGCTGTTCCGGGGCTTCCTGGATCAAGGGGTTTGACGTCCGGTAGGGTGGGGAAGAGCGGTCAAAATGACCGACCAGTCGAGGGACGTGTAGAAGATGAACTCCGAATTAGTTGATAAAATACTTATTTGTGTTCACGTTGAATTGGAACATTCCTTGAAATCATATACTTAATACCATAGTAGTCGTGCAATTTCAAATTGAACAAATATAAAACAAATTGCACATTATTCATTAATACCACAGTGACTTCGCAAATTAACCGCTCATAAATTTTTCCAGAGAACGGCATCGCAGATGTAGATGACAGATTTGAAATCAGCTCATCAAGATGCAGCTAATGATTTGGTATGCGGCTCATTTCAGTTTGCCGCCTTAAGTTGGGGATCGTTTCCTTGTAAGATTTTTTTCTGCAAAATAGGAATACTGCAGAGCTCCTTGGGGTCTCGCTCTTACAGCAGCAAGTGAAAAGTTCGTAATTGCTATTTCAAAATAATTTCTGTCAATATAATATTTGATAGACCTTGTTTGAATTTCAGCAACTTTCCAGGGACGGCTAAAAAAAGTCTACTGTGCATTGTATAGATCACTTCAGCATATTTTTAACTGTCACCAAGGAATAGTCCTTTTTTAGGTCAAAATATTGCATACATTTCTACTCTATGACTTCCTGCAGATATTTGTAGCAGAAGCAAACATGTGCCCAATAGTTTTGATAAAGCTGGACAACTTTACAAGCATACGAAGTTGGTGGCAAAGAGTGTATAGCTGAGAGGACGGTTTCCTCGAACAACCACTCCTAATGTGCATTATGTGTTACAGCTCGATATTTATACTGAGCCATAGTATTTAATTCGCTAATGATAAGGCACGAGAATCTTCTATTCGCTGTATTTCTCACTCTTCGCAAACATCTAGTTTTACAGAATCCAAACTAACTGTACAAACATCTCATAAAATTGCGAAACAATCTTGTCAAATGATATGACTAGCTAGCTAAACAGCGAACAAGAGAGTAAAATTTAAGCAGGATTGCACGGGGTAGGGCACTTTCGACAGAGCAGGGCACGGCACGAGGTGGTTCTAGCGATCTTCAGAGAACGAAGTCCTTTGACTTTAACTTGCACAATATTACACATGCACTGTTGCTCGAAAATGCTTAGAATAACAGATCATATTCAGTCCCTCTCCTCCCCCCCCCCCCCCCATAAAAACACTGGAAAAGACAGTGATGGTCGTACGGTTTGCTTTGGCGGCATGCTGTGTCTGTGCGCAATAGTGAGCCTGGGTACCATTTACATATTTTATTTATTAGCACAAGACGTGTCATAACTATTAGGTCATCTTAAGAGTTTTTTTCGTTTTTTGATCTTCTGACATTTTTGCCATATTTTCGAGAGAATGTAAGAGATCTAATGGGGGTCGCCATATATGGATCTGTAGCTAAAATTTTCTAGTTTTCGGAGATCCCGTCAAACATGCAGAACTCGCCTTATATATAAGTTTGTATGGCTATGAAGTAGACATATGGAAACGCGATTTTTGATTGATTGCCATTCTCTAAGCTGAAACTTGAATGCAAATTAGTCGAGGGAGCAACCATAAAGTGCACTGTATTTAGCAGGAGTATCTCTTTCGTGGGTGTGCAATGCCAATACAAAAAAAATTAGATTTATGAAACGAAGAGCCAAGATTTGCACTGTCCTGGAAGGTTATCTGCCATCAAACGAGCAGTTCAGAGGAATTTCTGAGGCAAATCGCAAGTGCAGCTGTGCAAAATAATCAGGAGGCCTTAAAGACACCGTCCACCCATATTTTCGACTTCCACGTTTTTGTCGTTTCAGGGCCTTCTCATGTCCCTGATTCCGAATATGAAGTCGAGAATGCGCGAAAACCTCCACAATCCCCGTTTCGGAGAACCTACGGGCCGGCTTTCCGAAACGGTGATTGGATGGTCGCGCACAAGTGGGCGGGCATGGATGGGGGAGGGAGGGCGGGCATGGATGGGTGTCCTCGTGCATCTTCGCTATTCCGAAGCGGTACTTTGCGCCGCGACTTGGGCATTGGATTGATGGGGGGCCCTACTATTATATGCTGCCAAAAGCTCTACACCCTCAACTTAGGGTGGACGGTGCCTTTAAGGTGTCATGCAACCCCATTAGAAGGTACCTTGGCAGATATTTCAATACAAAATAATCTTACTAGGGAACCGTGTCGAGTCGAAGTGGCCTTTCCAAATGAGACCCATACTGCTTTGAAGAGTATTAAGCGGTGATTCAAAATCTGCCTTCCAAATCTGCCAAGCGCCTCTGGACGCCGAGTTATGGCCGTTCTTCGGAACGAAAAATGAATGCAGAATTTAGGTAAAATTGATTGTTACAATCTTTCCAGCGCTCAGATAAAACAATGTCAAGTAACTGCATAAACAGCTCTGATACTTGACACTGGACCATTTGAGCAAATTTGGGCGATTTTGCTTCAGTTTTGTGTTCAATTTTTCGGCCTGAAAAACGAGCATAACACGGCGTCCAGAGGCGCTTGGCAGATTTGGAAAGCAGATTTGGAATCACCGATTAATGCTCTTCAAAGCAGTATGGGTCCCATCTGGAAAGGCCACTTCACTCGACACGGTTCCCTTGTTAGCAATAAAAACCCCATAAGGTGTCGGATTCGCAGTTTGAGGGCGCTTTGACTTTCTTCGCATTCTTACTCGTAATTTCTTGAAAAATTTCCATTTTAGCTTGTGCCTTTTGGCTTGTAGCAAAAAAGTAGTTTAATTACGATATGAAACGTCACGATAAATTACTCTGAAAAAGCATCAGAAGCTGCCCGTAAACAGATAGTAACTTCAAAAAGGTGTTGGACTTGAGTTAACGTGACCCTGCTGGTGTTATAGCTACTATCTTCTAAGATATGCGGCTGTACAGTTAGAGCAGACTAGCATAAGAAGGATCTGAAGACCGCTTATCAAAATTTGATAGTGGAACAGATTTGTACATTTATCTATAAAAGGTGTTACCCTTGCCTATGATGCCGCCGATTCTCATGTACAAAAGGTGGATCTATAAAAAGTGCTTATATGCGTACCGAAATTTTTATTTATTCCTCGAAATTTACAAACCTTCACTTAGCAACCAAATTTCCCAGCTTCTTGGAGGCTACTTAAAATACCAGGGCTTAATGAATGATAGCAAGTCAAAAACGCCTTTTTAGGCTTTATTGATTCACAAACAATCACTACATATGAAAAAAGCACATAATCACTAAGTAGCGTTCTCCGAAATTTTCTGAACACAATAAAGTTTATTTAGTTCAAAAAGAATGAGTCTGGAAAGAATAGTGTTTGTTCGAACTCAAGGGTGCAAAAACGAAAAAACTTCTGTGATGACCTAATAGAACAAAGTACTAGAAATGTTACCAGCACCAGAAACAGCAAACAAAAAACATCCGTCAGCTCAAGGCCAGTCACCAAATAGTTTGAAGTAAATAAGGAATTAAGCTTGTATAGACTAGGTATGGAATCATTACCTGAAATAATGGCAGACTCAATGGAGTCTGTCCCATGCCCCCTGCTTGCCCCTGCAAATAAGACCCTGTAAGCTCTCTTAACCGCTTTTCCAATGTGCTCTTTGAAAGTCAATTTGGAGGCGACCCAAACTTTCAAATTGAAAACAGTGTTATTTACTCTATACTTAAGCATATCTGCCCTGTCCAAGTGCGTGAAGTAACACTTGTCAACATTGCTGCCATCAGTCAGCAATTTCGGGCTGTAACTAAGCGAAGAAAGGAGGAGAGGGGTTTTAAGAACAGTTTATAACCTAGGAATTAGATGAAAGTCATGTAAAAAAAGAACAAAGATTCCATGAGGAAGAGAAATAATTATGACTTTACCTCTGTCCACCGAAAATGGCTGTCGGCAGAGGCCCCAAGCTACGTAATCTAAGAAAAGCTTGTCACTACTTTCGTTTACATAACTTTTGCATAATTTAATACATCATGCCAACGCCCTTGCGCATCTTTACATCAAATTTGGTGTCGTATCATTTTTTCTTCTTTGTAAACAAGCCTTTTTTATTTCGCAACGCTTGTGAAACCCCGCACTTGCATGGAGAGCACATTGAAGCTGGAAATTGCTGGTTTTGCAGAAAATGGAACGATGAGTCAACAATGAATACGAGAACAGTCTACAGAATTGAAGAGAAGATGAAAAGGGAAGGGGGCGGATGGAGATGTGATAGGCATATAGGAGAAGGGCGGTTTGTGGACAATGACCCTGCAAAAATGATGATTCCTTTGCTGACTTTCTTAGATACTCACAAAAATGGTCCGTCTTCATATGGAGCGCGGCCCAGTACAGGAGTTTCCACTGTTTCCTGTCCCTCGCTTTTGATATACACGATCTCCCTGGTGTTCGTCAGTGGCTGCGTCTGCAGTTCCAGGTGCAAAATTGGTACCTAAACTCTCATGCTCCATTCGTTCCAGATCACGTCCGCCCATCTCATTGGTGGTCTTCCTCGAAGACGTTTTGCTTCGAGGAATTCGCTCAGATGTTTACACTGTCCATCTGTATCTGTTCCTCTCATGATGTGAGCGAACCACCGATGTTAGCTTTCGCGATTCCGTTGGATGAGGAAGACGGGAAGACGAGACATATTCTTGTATCTATTATATATTGCGAAAGTCCGACGCGGTCTGGCTCATGTCGGGTAATCTTCAGTAGACTTCAAGCGCTCTGTGGTTCGTAAAGCTTTCGATGTGGCTACAGTATCAGCCCATCTCGGCTACGTAGCAGAGGGCCGGGAAAACGTTGCGTCGAACAGGTGGGCGCGAAGCTCCGGCCGTCAGTCATCAGGGGCTTCTTTCAAATGGCTCAGACAGCTCTTCTGCTCTTGTTACTTTCCTCAAATCGCTCTTCATGTTCATCAAACGTCCAAGATAACACGTAAGAAGCGTCTTTATAATGGGGTGCCTTCCAGTTCCATTTGCTCGTCTCTACAAAGAGGTTCCCCATTAACCGACTCTTCCTTCCCAATATATCCGCAATCCATCTCCTTCCTTACTTTGTTTGGTTCCTTCAGCATCATCCCTGCTTCTACGAACTGCCCGAAAAAATAACGTCGTTCGCAAAACGAAGGTTCGACAGGAATCTCCCATCAACTCGTATGCCTCTCTCGTCCCATCCGGTGACTTCATCTGACATTGCAAGGCCGCGGTGAACAATTTTTGTCCTAACCTTCTACAGCCTCCATAAAGGCTACCAACGACGATGACGCTTGTTATCGATTATTTGCTTAAGCGCGACCAAGATGGCAGATCTTTATTGATGGCCGACGTTTCGGCGTCCCGCCCTCGTCAGAGCCGTAATGCAGTGATTTTTGTAGCCAAGATCACCCGTATGAGAGACTACTATTAGTAGAGACTACTACTATAGTAGTCTCTCATACGGGTGGTCTTGGCTACAAAAATCACTGCGTCACGGCTCTGACGAGGGCGGGACGCCGAAACGTCGGCCATCAATAAAGATCTGCCATCTTGGTCGCGCTTAAGCAAATAATCGATAACAAGTTACCATGCCAAGATTCAAAGAAAGTCGGACTTTTGAAATATTGAGACGATGACGCTATTCTCGTTTTCGATGTTGGGAGTTGTGTCGCCTTGTAGGACCCTCGCTCGGACCAACTCCCAACATCGAAAACGAGAATAACGTCATCGTCGTTGGCAGCCTTTATAGAGGCTGTAGAAGGGTTTCACGCATTCGACGAAGGTTAAGAAGAGACGCAGGCTTTACTCCCGGCAGACTTATATGACCCTCGGACTTTGGATGTGGTCCATGCAGAATCCTTTGTGAAATCAGCTTGTTCTTGTGGCTAGACTTCATCCAGTATCCTTGATGCGCAGAAGACCGACGGTAGGGTGATCTAATGCTGGAGCTGCGGACGCCTTCTAGATTTGGATTGCGGTGCGCCAACAGGTAGAAGTGATGTAGTTCCCTAATGGGAACAACGGGTGTAGGTACAGGCGTTAATGAGCGGAGAGTTTGGTACAAAACTTTCTTGCAATTTTCATCTTCTGTCGAAGTCAGAGTCCGGTCTTCGTTAATAGTGCAGCCAGCGGTACGTGATAATCACAGAGGCCCCTTCGGCTTGGGTGCTTCCAGTATCTTCGCTCGCCTGTATTTTCGAAGACTCTTGCAAAGCTGTTCTGCAAGTGGTGTTTGCTATCACTCGCTCGAGGGGAGCCGCATTTTCAGCTTGCATCAGATCTCTTACACTTTCGAACAATCCTTTAGTGTTCATCGAAATAGTTCCAACTTCTTCTCGCGAGTCGTTAAGGCACATTCTCTGCCTCGTAATTTTCTTAGAAGTCGCAGCATTGCTACGATAAATTTGTAGAAAGATTTCTCGTTGTGCAAGACGTCCTCCACGTTTTCGTTAGCATCCAATTCTGGTAGCAGTTGGTAATGCTGCTGGTCTTCTGACATGAATATCGTAATCGTAGGATGGTTAGTCGAGGTGATAGGATCTCACGCGAAATGACAAGATCGACGATATATGGGTAGACGATAAAGGTGTCCAACGTTTTGTGATGGAACCTTCTCACCACGGATGACGAGGGTCCCATCACTCATCTGTCGCAAGTCCTTCTTTCTGGACATCGCTTTCTACAGAGCGATGACGTGACACTTAATGTGCTCTGCAGATCGAGAGGTGAGGACGGCATCTGTGGAGACTGTGCTGCCGTTGTAGGCGCAGAGCTTGAGGCAGTTTACATGGTGTGACGTCGCAGACGTGTCATTGTCAGATACAAATGGCGCAATGAAGCTGACAAAAACTCTTGTTACCACCCGGCGGCCGCAGGTGGGGTCCGACGATGTGCGTAGCCTTCTCTTATTCTTTTCGCCGAAAAAGTAGTAGTATCTTGCACCGACAAGAGCAAAATCACTAGATCGTGCTCGTGCCTTTCTAAGTCGGTCGCCGATTCTGCGATGTGGAGTACGGGATCGCCGCGTACGTTTGGTTACATGTGTGTGCCAGTTGCGCATGCGCCGCGCGCAACAGACTGACAATGACCAAAGCGCGAAGAACTCGGTTCCCCATTTGTTAAATATTCAGTACTTCCTTATTCTTCTTACCACCTACAAAGTTGCAAAAGATCATTCCACAAGTGCCATTCTAGCATGTTTTAGTGCAAACGGCAACATTGCGACACACTTTGCATTTGAAAATGACCATTTCACTTGTGTGGACCAATACATGGAAACCACAGAATTCGCTAAATCTTGATCCGCAAGGGTTACACATGACATCTTATTGCGAACAAGTTCTTCATTATGTTTGATAAGGCCTCATGTTCTGCCTAACCTCGGGCTGTTCTTAGTTTGGGATCCGGAGAAACTCGGAAGTGTCGACTCCACCACATTCGGGAGGCCCTACCAAAGTGTACTTTAGACTGTAAGTTGCAGTTCGACGTCCAATGTCACCTCCACGTGACCGGCCGGCAGGCCATAGTAGGTAAAAAAGTAAAGGATTCGGCGTTTTGAATACCCTTTGCAGGGATGCGGATAACTCATCTACTCCATTGCCGAAGAGGAAGCTAAATCCGTGAATGGCTTGACTTTCCACAGCCAGGCGATTACCATGGCACTACTTCTCCTATCCGCGGAGTATAGACTCGATTGAACCAGGGGCGAGATCGAATTATGGTCCGACCTGATCATAGCGGCGCCTTATACCACTACCGTTCCCGAGCTTTCTCCACCCAAGGAGAAGTAAATCTTGAACCTCAGTGAAGTACACAGCCAAGAGAGGGTGAGTTAGTCTTAAGAATCCACTCTAAAGTCTAGATTCGTCTAGTAAATGACATAAAACTCACCTAACTTGTTGCGAGATGAAGCTAATGAATTCAACCTATCATGAGATTCTTACTAAGATACTATACTAGGTCTGCTCCTTCTGAACAAGCTGCCACCTGAAAAGTGGTCGAACTGGAAAACGTACGATGCGCTTCATCGATTTTCGTTGCCTATTTAGATACTATCGTTCAGATTCAACTCCTTATGTGGTGATTGCATCAGTTTGCAGTTTGGGTGGAGCAGGCCGGTTGGACTGGAGTTGTTATCATTCGAAAGAGCAGTTTGAAACGACAAAGAATACACTGGACACGACACAAAGTAGAAGGGAGTGTCGTACATTTCAGATTTGCATATGTCATTATAACTTAAAAATTAGCGGGATTGGCTAAAGTGACTGCCAAACTGGGAACCACTGTTAAAGTGTCGGTGATATCACCGCTTGGAATTGAGTGAAAGCCTTCGGATTGTAGTTTTCGAAGCGGACACGATGAGGCGCTTGGAAAAGTTACTTACAGCTGGGCAATTGCCCCAGCAGAAGATTATCGGGATGGAATCGTGAAATGGACACAGGACAGGAGCTTAGATTTACAGTTGAGTAAAGAAACAGAGAAACAGTTGAGCTCATTTGTCATTACGAGCCTAGCGAAGCGAATTACAAATCTTATTCGATGAATAAGGACCAAAATTTTGGTTAGTTTCGGAAAATTTTGCACGCACTGCCTTATCCAGACTTTTTCAGTTCCTCAATTCATTTTGCAAATCACTTTAACTATTTTCTTCTATCATAAAATCCCTTACCGTCTACTTCCCGCTTGGAGTTGGAGATGCAGAAACTATTAAGTTGGCACGAAAGTTCTTGCGTAATTCAAACAAAATTCAATAACTTTCCAAAGACTTAACCTAAATTCACAATCTTGTATGCTAAAAATATTAGAAGTCCTACGCTTCATAACGGATGTTTAAGCATAAGATTCCGTGAGCTGGACATCAAGAACGAAGCTCTCGAATATGGGGCTTCAAATTTCGCGATTTTGAGTTTGGCGCCAGAAAATCGCAGAGTGCCGCTAGCTAGCCGAAAAAAAATTTGCAGAATTTAGTTACACAACAAAAGTCCATATGTAACTTTGGAAGGCTTTGATCTTGCACGGTGAAGCAAAAACAAAAAATTCGTGAAATGAGTCATTTTGTGGAAAAAAATCCCCTCATGTCCGCAGTTTTCCGGCGAAAACACTTTTTTACAATCGAGAAACCGTCGCAAGGCTCTAAATAGGCACTATGTCTAATTTCTGGTTGCAAACTGGTTTCTGTGGAAAAGTTAGTGCGATGAGGGGATTTGTCCTGTGAAATGAGAATTTTCACAAATTTTTTGTTTTCGCGTTTCCATGCGAGATCAAAGCCTGCTAAAGCAACGTATGGACTTTTGCTGTGTAAGTAAATTCCACAGATTTTTTTCGGCTAGCTAGCGGCACTCTGCGATTTTCTGGCACCAAACAAATCGCAAAATTTGAAGCGCCTTATTCGAGAGTTTCGTTCTTGATGTCCAGCTCAAGGAATCTTACGCTTAAACATCCATCATGAAGCGTAAGGCTTGTAATATTTTTAGCATACAAGATTGTGAATTTAGGTTAAGTCTTTGGAAAGTTATCGAATTTTGTTTGAATTACGCAAGAACTTTCGTGCCAACCTAATATTTATTAGAAGTAATGATGCTCGAACAAATTTCTTGTACACCTGCCATAATTTTCAAATTTACACAATGGGAAATATTTTTTATGCAGCTCAGATTTTGATCTTGATCTTCAGTTGCATTTCCCTTAAATGAAAACCATGTAAAATACTTTTGTGCTACATTACTGTGAATCACTTTGTGAGTAATGCATGCGACCATGATTATCTCAATTTGATCTGTATGTGTTCTGCTCTGTTGTTTTTTTTCATTTGCAATTTTTGAGAAGATGCAAATGTTGCAAACTTTTAGACAATCCCTTTAATCATAAGTGACTCAATCATAGAACAGTTTATCATAGGTAATGCACACTAGGGACTAGCCTAACCAATTGATTGTTGATAACTTTCATCTTCTCTGATGCACCAGAAAAAAATTTTGGTATGCTTCCTAATTTCGGGCCCATAACCCCAAAACCCCAAAAAATCTTTTTATAAGGCTAAATTGAATTTTTAAAAAATTTTAAGAATTGTTTCAATTACTTATAAGTATAAACAAGTTACTCGCACGATTTTATAACTCATGTAACTTCAAAAATTTCGCGACCCTCTCGAGGATGGGCAGGCTCTTTGGATGTTTCCGAATAAAGGCAAATTGTTGTTGAAGTAAAAAAGTGATCCTGAATAATAATGTTAGCGTTGAGAAGTCGTTTATATAATTATTTTGAAGGAAGGAGATACGAGAGAGAGACAGTCTTGATGTCATCGAGATAAGTCTTCACTACTAAGTTTTCCCTGTCTCTGAATTAATCCCAACTTCCGATTGCGATGGAGCTTTTTTCGTAATAAATGAAGCGGATACTTTTTATCATGTTCAGATTTCGGAACCGCTTTCACTCTCGCAGACTTTTGACAATGATGGATTGTTGTCATTTCAAACAACACATCTTCATCCAAGTCTAGATTTCTTAACTTCTTTATTTTCATTTGTATCTGTAGCAGCCGTTTATTACATACATACAAATATATAGCACCCGAGGTGATTTGTTGATAAAATTCTTTATCGTCTCGTGCCATCCTCGAAGAAAACACCTCCGTCCAGTGCACAATATTTGGGGCAAATTCCGCGTTCTCCTTGAGGTCCAGGCTGTCCAGGTGTTCCAGGGTTTCCGGGGGCACCAGCGGGTCCGGGGGGTCCGGTAGGTCCTGGTGGACCTGGTGGGCCACCGCCTCCAGCTTGTCCATCTCGTCCAGGTTGCCCGTCTGGTCCAGGAAGACCGGGAGCACCTAAAGCAATTTGGGTATTATCAAATGCAGCAGATGATAGACATTATTTGTTTTATGAATTCTGCAACCCTACCTGGTTCTCCTGGTGGTCCTGGGTCTCCAGGAATAGCGTTAATGCTCTGTGCAGGCCGTCCAGGCTCTCCCTTTTCTCCATCCGAACCAGGAGTTCCAGGCTGCCCGGGAGGCCCGTTCGGCCCTGGTGATCCTGGAGCTCCGGGATTGCCAGGCCGTCCAGGGCCGCCAGCTCTGCCGGGGCTACCAGGAGGCCCATTTGGTCCAGGTGGACCTGGTGGACCTGGAGGACATGGATTACATGGAGGAATATCGAGCTCCTCGCAAATGATTGGAGGCCGTCCGGGAGCGCCTGGTCGTCCTGGTGCTCCTGGGGTTCCTGGTTTGCCGTTTCTTCCGGGAAGACCTGGACGTCCTGGGTGTCCGGGCTTACAACAACCTTAAATCTCAGGTTTTGCTAGCAATCAAATTGGCTCATTTGAATGAGATACCGGCGCACGATCCGGCCTGCCTTTTTGCTCGAAGTGAGGTGGCGTTGGCTGCAAATGAGGAGAAGGCGGCTGGCTTCTTATGACTAATTTCCGTCATGATGTCCCGAGCTGATGACTATAACTGGATGGATCACAATCACTAATGCAGTAATGGGCGCAATTTCAGCCTAAACTTGCTTCTGCTTCATTTACGAGTTAGCTTGCGAGAGCGTTTTGTATTTCACACAAGGCGACCTTCACTACAAACCCTCAAACTGGCTGCACATAAAATACTAATTCGTTCATGCTAATTCGCCTAAACAGCACAATGCTACTGCAAGCTTGCTTTCACTCTGCCGCGAGTTTGACATGGTTTTTTGTCTATTGCTTTGTACAAAAAAGCGTAAAACTATTCAAAAATGAGCAAGCAGAAACTGCAAACCAAGTAGGAGTCTTGAATCTCATTAAATTCACATGCAATATAGAAGGATAAGTTTGCGCAAAGAGGTTTTGTGCAAAACAACCACTCATATCCATTTCCTGTTCTCTCCGCATCTTGTGCGTTTTTTCTACGAACTAGTTGGTAAGAAGGCTAGACAAAGCATCAAAAAAGGCGCGTTGATTCAGCTGCGAAACACTTGATGAACGAGATCTCAGCTGTTTCCAGATTTGGCGCGGTTCCGCCGCCTCGTCCGCGGCACGCGCATGGCTCGGAAGCTACATTCAACCTTAGAAAATCTGAATTATTTCAACAAAGGAAAAAGACGCACCTTGCAAAACTGCAAGTCTCTTTTTGTCTGCTGTTGCACATGATCTACAAAATTGTAGACAATAGGCATGGTTATGCAGACTGAGAGGATGGCGACCAGGGAAAATGTGACGGCTGAATAGGCCACGGCCTTGTAAGCCCTCTCACGAGGGTCCTCCATCTCCTGAATTCTTTAAATGTTATCAGAAGCTGAGAAAAAAAAAGAAAAAAGAATTTTGTAAAATGCGAAATTTGGAATACCATAGCAAATAGTAAAAACAGATTGCAAAGATATGACGAAGACATAAAGAGAGACAAACACAGGAATATCGGAAGTAGCAGGAATTGAAAGAAGGGAGCTGAGAAAGGGATGGAATGCGTGCGCTATGTGGGGGTAGTAAGCAAGAAGAGTGGCTGCTTAGAGGGGCGTAGAGGATGGAGGACCGGACTGCGCTTTATACGCCGCCAAGACGGTCACCGACGCGGAACGCTGCACGCACTAAGAAAGCACTAGGTGTCGAGGTCAAAAACACCTCGCCCTGGCGCTTGAACTCCGCGGCGCGGAGCCCGTGGCACCCGTGGCTCCGTAAGCGCATGGGAATGTCCGGCTTGAACGGACCCTAAATCTCTGCAAAAAAATATTTTCTGCTCTGCAAAAAAAGCCAATTCCGTGGGGAATAGTATTTAGACATTTGGACTGCAAGCCAAGAAAACATAAACGGATAACATCATGTCATATGTCTCTTTCTCAAAAGAGCACTAGAAAGTAAAAAACTCAAAACGAAACCTTAGATGATTACCTTAAATAATTTATAACATCTGTTGATAACTTGTACGGCAAGAGCTAGTGGAATAAATAACATTAATCCCAATGAGGTTTCCAAGACTGCTACCACCAAGAATTTCCTCCTCCACCTCAAAAGGACATTTGCCCTTTTGCAAAATTGCTTTCTTGTTAATTTGAAAGGGTTGAACTTTGCAGCAAGGTCATAGAGCATCTGATTCACTTAAGCCTCCACTAGACAAATTAAATTAGCAGCCATCCAAAAACTGCAAGAAGTGCTGTGGGAAAGTTCTATGATACCAAGCCGTAATGAATAATCTATACTGAGCTCTCTATCTACACTAAAATAAGCACAGTTTGTGAGAATAATGCAAATTAGCTCCAAAGTTCTATGCGCTTTCTGCCATTTTCATTTTCGTCTAAATATGTCTTGATTATGTTAACATCATCTTCAGTCTCACAGCCTAAAGCTAGGGCATTCAAAATACTTCTTAAATATGAATTCAGTCTAGATCATCATCTGCGAGGAAGAAAACTGAAATTATTCAAAGGGGAGGCAAATTCATAATGATAGAGGGCATTTCTCTTTAGTAGCCGAATCTGTGGGAATTGCGCACATTTTCTACCGAATTTCGAAAACTAAATTCTCGAAAAGAATAAACATCGGTTTTTTTTCCTTAGGAGATCGACAAAGTTATCTAAGGGTAACTCATAGCTCGAAAGACAGGATCCCCAAGTACCCCTTACTTACAGTTCAAACTAGATACTCTCCTTTCCAGACTAACTTCAAACCTATTGAGATCTACCCGAAGTTGACTGGTAGTGCTAGGCTAGAAAAAGACATTACCTAGATAATGATGGCGAGTGTGTATTCGAGGCTGGATAATCTCCGTCTTGCTCGCGTCGGAAACCTCGTTAAAGACAAGTTTTTCTTTCAAGAACGCCCCATTCAAGCTTCTATGCCGCATTATCCATTCGAAGTCGATAGCATCGTAAAACTGTTTCAACCAGATATCATTGCTATAGTTTTTCAAATCAATAATTTACGATATTATTGCAGTCTTCCATCTCCTGGCTTTTCTTCGGCTGAATGAAGGGCACATTTTCTTTCAAGACACTGTAATATCAGTTACATCTTTGAAAATCAGCAGAGTCCACAAAAGCTTTATGGTTCAAATTACTAAATCTTGACTGAGTGACCGTTTTGGATATGATGATACTGAGCTTTATGCTTCTTCCGCTCACCTTCTTCAAATTTTACTTCTCCAGACTGATGCATAAGCCTACTATCGCCACTCTTGAATTGGGTAAGATTAGCGAACTACGCGAGAACTACATTTTCTTTCAAATCCTCACCTTCACAACACTATCTTGCAAATTTCAAGTGACAGATTTATTTAAAAGTCGTATAGTTTATATAGTTTACTGACTCGCATATATTAAGACTATTTCACGGCTGTTTCCCACATAAATGATTAACCCTCTTCCATTTTGGTGAAAGGGCCTGCCTGGTATACTAGAAAATCTTCAATCTTTGTGTACGGCAAAAAAGTGTTAGCATGTAAAGCAATCCAAGTAGGGTTAGTTGATCTCTAAAATGTCCTCAAATCTCTGCATTACCAGATACAAGTAAAGAATTTTGAGCTACCATCCTTTAAAATCTGCTCTCCATGGCATGCTCTATCCATACTTTCGATTTCGAATGCTTGATTGTCTTATTGCACATCCTTATGGCAGCATGATACGTCATGACACAGTACTAATAATGATAGTTTTTTAAATAGGAGAAAGTATTCAACTTAATTCTTCAATAGCTAGAATTCTATGACAGTCTCCTTCCCACTGTTCCCAGCCAGATTAATGAGTTCGACTGTTTATGATTTGTTACTTATCTGTAAATGCAATGTGAGTTTTTGGCATCGCAGTTATGAATGATGTACAACGGTAGATAGATTTTAGCATATTCATTCGAATTCGATTGCCATTCTCAAACACACTTTGGACCACGACCGCTTTGCGCTGCGCAACAAACAGCGTCTGTTCGCAAAAGGAGAAAAACGCTGCCGCTTCCGCACACCGATCAAACAAGGATCGCTTGTCGACGGATTCAAATAAAAACAACTGCAAAACTCGCATTGTTGCTGGCTGGGAAAGTCCACCACGCTAAAAAACCGGCTGCATTGTCTGTATCTCCTTGGTATGCACACTCGCTGCCGTGTTTGATTTCAATGCAGCGCTGTCACTTACCGGGGTGCGCAGTGTTGACAAACATTACTGTTACAATAGCTTGATTGTAACATTGTTTACACAGTGCCACCCGCTTCTGGCTTCTGTTGATGGAAACAACAACGAACTAATTGAGCAGTTCGTCGACCCGCGCTGCAAAGCGCCCCTCGCCCCGTCTCACGCATCACCCAGTATGGGATCGCGGGCATTCCCTTGCGATCCGCGCTTCACCTCGGCTACGACTGGCTTCCCTTGAGAAGAAGCTACGGTAACAAGCGCATTTGAGATAAACGATTATGACTCAACTGCTTATTAGGCAGAGAACAGAGATATGGTATAGTGATAATTAAACGAAAATGTATGTTTCCAAATGAAAAAAGAAGTATGTAATACATAAAACTGGAGATTCGGCCCTATCTTGTATTTTGAAAAATCTCTATGGGACTTTATTAGAAAGGTAAAGTCATGCATTATGCGGCAAAACTAGAAGTTTCTCAATAACAAAACCTAAGGTATGGAAGGAGTTTACTCAAGCTTTAGCGATTTGAGCAGAGCTCGTCAAAAAATTCTCGCTGGAAAAATAGCAAAACTAAATAAAGAACAGCCATTACGATTACGATTACGTCTACACCACCGGGTACCCTTACATAATATGGTCACTCTTTCTGAAAAAACTAACCAGGCGATTTCATCGAGATAGCAAGAAATCCATAAATCTAGCCCTTTGACTGGAAGAGAACTTCTCGCTCTATCTCGGTCTAACTTCATGTTTCTCTTTTCAATTCCACATTTTTTTGAATTCAAACTAATTAGCATACTGATATCTCCAACTTTGACTAAAAACCCAAGCTTGATGGAACACCTACTAGTTTCTTCCGTCTGTTTATTTCATTGTCAGGGATTCTCTTGAACAACAAAAGAATAGCGCGTAGACCTTTGCTTTCATCTTTCTTTCTTTCTTTCTTTCTTTCTTTCTTTCTTTCTTTCTCTCTTTCTTTCTTTCCTTCCCTCACATTTCTCTTAATGGGTGTTGCGCTCTAATAAAAAAAAGAGAATGCGGAGCCCTGCTGTGTCGTTTTATCGGATCATTGTTTTTATCCAAAAGACTGTCGAAACAATGATGTATGGGGTCTTTTTTAGTACCTGTACCCACTGTCTGATTAATAACTTTTCTGCGCCGAGGTGTTCGAGAGACTTCATGGCGCCAAGTGTAGCCCAAGCTTGATTCATTTGCAAAAAGAAAAATTGACTTCAGTCATTGTAAAAAAAAGTTTTTTTTGGGAGGCAAAGTTGTTTGAAGTTGTATGACTGAAGTCTGAAGAAGCACATATCTATTCATCAGTGGCGTACCCAGGATTTCCGTGAAGGGGCAATAAAAAAATTTTTTTTGAAAGAGGTGCGTGGGCTTAGCCGCGCACCCAGAAAAATTATTTGGTTGCTTCTCAACATTTGCGCGGGCTCGAATTCCCCCAGATTTCAGAACAAGGGGCCGTGACACGCCCAAAAAAATTTTTGCTAAACTGAATTTTTTAAAAGTTGTAGAAATTATTTTAATTATTTACAAGTATAAATAAGTCACAACTTGCACATAACTTTCTTGCTTTGACGTTGTTGTGTCCTCCACGTCGGACACGTCGACTCTTCGTCCTGAGGCAGCACACGAGGAATAGAGAATATTTATTAGGAAATATTAGAACAGCAAAATAAAAGAGGCAGATGAGTGAACAGACGAACTGATTGTAGAACTGACTAAGGCTATGCGTGAGCGCCTTTTATAGCGCTCATTTCCCGCGCACTCTGAGGCTAAGATCGAGTGCGCGAGGGCAGATCACTACGAGGAAAACAGCTGATCATTTACGAACACTAACACAACACCTCCCCCAGTAGGGTAGTAACACAAAACTAGCCTACGATAAAAGCTTGAATTACAAGTATGAACAGCTAAGAAATCGGTCATACATAGAAATTCAAACAACTACAAACTAATGAAAGAAACATACAATAACATATTATGGACTAGGTTGGAACCGTTGTACCGGTCTTCTCGTTCTGCTCGATCTCCGAAGCGTTGTCGGTGGCGTGGAGGGCTCGTGGCTTGATGTCGACGTCGATGTCGTTGAATCCACGGGTGCTGGCACATCGCTCGCGATCGCTTGCTCGGAATTCTCGTC